GAAGCTTCCCATTTAGAATGACGCAGCCTGCGAGGATGGTGCCAAAAAACGCGATGATTCCGTTAGGAGAATCGGGTAACAGACTACAAATAACTTCTCCAGGTTGTATACCCAGTTTTCTCAGCTGCCTGACGAAATACACAGACTGGTCTAAAATCTCCTTACACGTTAGAGAGGTCCTCAAACCATCCTTATCAACAAACACAAAGGCTTCTGAATTTGGATGAATCTTTGCCCAATGCTGTAATCTTTCTGGAATGTTGTAATTTTGGAGTGAATCTGGTTCCATGATCTGAAAGTATATAATAAGAATCTTGATTAGAAATGTGTAATAAGGATTATGTATGTGTAAATTTAAAGTAGCCAAATCACAAAATAAATCCGCGAATATTCAAGATGTCGCTGCTCATGTAAAGAATGCCAGAATCAACCATTGATTTTCCACTAAACTTTTTAAGCAACAACTCATCTCTCTATTTCACACAAACAATATTGTGGTGTTTGCAATTTTGTAGGCATTAAAACAGTTTTTCAATCCTAACTGGTAAAAAGCAATTGAGAAATTTCTTTCTTTTTACTTTGGAACGTTACATGTTTCCGGTTTCGAAAAGGAGTTTTAAGCCATGCCTTTTACTCGGCTGTCAACTAAGCTCGTGATATGATTCTGGTATCTAGATGTACAGTCGCTGATGTTATGAATCTGCCACCATCCGACCCTACACTGCTCTCCCACTTGGAATTGACGGAATTGACCATCGAATCATTTTTAGATAGGGTTTAAGTGGTGAATGGGTATAATCACAATCAAAGTAATCATGTCATGGATCAGAAACATGTCACTGTTGTTTTTTGATCAATAGATTTAGCCGATAATGGACATGCCAAGAGGATAATGATGACGTTAAGAGGATAATGAACATGTTACTAGAGGATAATGAACATGGAAAACACACAAGAAACCTGTTAAGAAGAAGATATAAATGAACATGTAAAGAGGACAATGAACATGTCAAGACGATAATGAATATGGATAGAGGACAATGAACATGTAATGAACGTGGAGAGAGGACTATGAACATGTAATGAACATGGAGAGAGGACTATGAGCATGGAGAGAGGACAATGAGCATGGAAAGAGGATAGATAAATGAAACTGTAAAGAAGATAATGAACATGAAGAGAGGATAAGGATTATGTCAATATGATAATGAACATTAAGAAACTCGCCGGTTATTATGATATACCGGAACTGTGATATTTTAGTGTTGTTCAACAGTCAAGCTAGTGAATAAACTGATGATTAACTACATACATTACATAATTTAAATATGTGCATATTCTCATACATGGAAATAACACACACGAACGTAATTAACAGCCATTTTGAATCACAACCTCGATTTAATAAGTCGAATTATTAAAAAGGCCCAATATTTCAGCAATTCAGTCAATCAAAAATCTCGTCCAAAAGTACAAAATCGTTTACTAAAGGTAATAAAGGAGTGGATTCCCCAATAAGAAGTACCATCAGGTGTTTCGAAAAGAGTAAGCATGGCCTGCTTCGCGTGCGACACCCGCCATAAGATACACCCAGATCAATTCATATCTGACCAAGACCAGAACTTGTATTTAACTCACCTCACCGATTGTTGTGATATTCTGGGGATTAAAATGGTGATATTTGAAAAGTGTTCCTTCAACTGTCAAAATGGTATAATACCAGTCAATATATATCAATTATATCAATTTAAAAACATGTTTTTTGCTCATTATACTCCATTGTACATCAACCATAACAAAACAACATATTGTGTACTCAGGCAATTTTTATATACGACAATCGACGAGTATTACATTATGCTGTCGTGTATATACTGAGGAAATTTCCACATGAGCAACTTTTGACCACATTTTCCTGGTATATCATCTAATTCTAATATAAGTGGTACATCATCTTAGATGTTCCAGTGGTACATTTGGTACATCATCTTAGTGGTACATCATCTATTGTTACATCATTTATTGGTACATCATCTTAGTGTTACACCATCTTACTATTAAACCATCGTAGTGGTATATCTTGTTATTGGTATATCATCTTAATGGTACATCATCTTAGTGGTACATCATCTTAGTGGTACACCATCTTATTGTTTCATCATCTTAGTGGTACACCATCTTAGTGGTACACCATCTTATTGTTACACCATCTTATTGTTACATCATCATCATCTTATTGTTACATCATCTTATTGTTACATCATCTTATTGTTACACCATCATCATCTTATTGTTACATCATCTTATTGTTACACCATCATCATCTTATTGTTACATCATCTTATTGTTACATCATCTTATTGTTACATCATCTTATTGGTACACCATCTTATTGTTACATCATCTTATTGGTACATCATCTTAGTGGTACATCATCTTATTGGTACATCATCTTATTGTTACACCATCTTATTGTTACATCATCATCATCTTATTGTTACATCATCTTATTGTTACATCATCTTATTGTTACATCATCTTATTGTTACATCATCTTAATGGTACACCATCTTATTGTTACATCATCTTATTGTTACATCATCTTATTGTTACATCATCTTATTGGTACACCATCTTATTGTTACATCATCTTATTGGTACATCATCTTAGTGGTACATCATCTTATTGGTACATCATCTTATTGTTACACCATCTTATTGTTACACCATCATCATCTTATTGTTACACCATCTTATTGTTACATCATCTTATTGGTACACCATCTTATTGTTACATCATCTTAATGGTACACCATCTTATTGTTACATCATCTTATTGTTACATCATCTTATTGTTACACCATCTTATTGTTACATTATCTTATTGTTACATCATCTTATTGTTACATCATCTTATTGTTACATCATCTTAGTGTTACATCATCTTATTGTTACATCATCTTATTGTTACATCATCTTATTGTTACACCATCTTATTGTTACATCATCTTATTGTTACATCATCTTATTGTTACACCATCTTATTGTTACATCATCTTATTGTTACACCATCTTAGTGTACACCATCTTATTGTACACCATCT